TCACCATGACAACCGGAGCAAACCCCCACAAACTGTCCGTCCAGAGCCGACAAAATCATCAGGTCTACATAAAACTGACCTAATATGTGCGTCTTTGACAAATAATATATAAATAAATAAATGTGAAATCACCTTTAATATAATAATATATAGGTAATGAATTTATTAAAGATGCAACATGCATGGCTGTGGGGAGCAGGGGTGCTGCAGCACCCCCTAGTGGCTAGAGGGAGATTTAAATAAAAGTATTAAATGTATTCTTTTGCACAATTTATAAATTCTTTATTCATATTTTGGGAAGTGATTTTTGACACATGTATGCTATTATGTGTATTTAGATTTTAATTTAATTATTTTTAGGCCTAAACATGTAGGTTTACGGAATTTACGTTGTCGACGTCAGGTTTCCCGCTTGCTTGCTAGCTTCACAGCACCCCTGTTAAAAAAGACTTCGAGGGCCCTGGCACCATGTGACTTCTGTTACAGGAGGTCCAGCACCCGCTTATGCCCAGATTGTTTTACTTTACCTGGAATGTTCAACAGGATGATATTACACTGATCTATGCTGCTTTTGTTCAATTACAAATGTTTTACTAGCTCAAAAATAAACTGATAAATATGCATTGTTATTGTGAGAGGGCACCTGCAAATTGTTACAGAGTTGAAACTTTCTTCCTTCCATGAAGATAGATACATTTAATGCCATCATTCCCCCATGGAGACAAAGTACAGAAAAGTTGCACAGTGCACCTTTAAACTGTTGGGCAAATTTTGTCTTTCTTGTCCTTCTCTCACACATACACATAACTTTTTATCACAAGCAAAAAATACAAAGTACTCCCAAAAAGGTCACGTGAGGTCAGAGTGCGCCACACCACTGGTAATGTTAATGGTTTAGTAGTGAAGTTGTAGTAGTAGTAAATTAATGAAAACCAAGAGGAAGAATAAAGCAACCAAAACACAATATAAGGTGGAAACATAGCCAAAACTAAACAGCAATAATATATACAAAAATGGGCCAAGTAAGATTTTTGGCTTCTTTAAAAATGCACCTCACTTTGTATCCAGCAGATGGCAGCACAGCCTGACACACACATACACACACATAAACACAAAGACACACACACAGCCGGCTTCTGTAACACAATCTCATCACTAAATGTTTCACCACAATCATCAAATATGTAGTCCTGCCCCACTGAGCCAAAACAAGCAGATTATTAGTCCGGTAATGAGCACTTCCTGTGTCACTCGCATCATCTGCAGCACTAACACACACACACACACACACACACACACACACACACACACACACACACACACACACACACACACACACACACACACACACACACACACACACACACACACACACACACACTCTCATCAGAGCATGTCCCAGAATAATACTTTAACTACAAGCAGCAAACATGTCTAAAGTGAAGGTAAGGTTGAGTGTCCAGTGTCAGGTGTGGGTGTTGCAATCTTAAAGGTCCTGTATTACACAAAAGTCAATCTTGTGAGCTTTAAGGCCTGTTATAATGTTGTTACTTCATCACAAACAAACCTGAAGTGTTTTGTTTCATTCACATGTTTCATTCACACCTTGGGATGTCATGTAGTGGTAGTTTTTAAGTTAATAGCTACCATTTACCTTTTGTTCAGCAGAGATTTGCAATTCCAGGGCTCAAATCATCCAAATAATTCTAATTAAGGTGTATGAAGTTTATACATGACATCATGAGGTAGAAAAGAGAAGAACTCATATGCAAGGTTTGCGTGTTAAACATGTCCAAATGAAACAAACAAAACAAAACAAACAAAAAAAACACAAACAAACCTCCCCCCAAACAAACAAGACAACAAAACTCCAGGCATATTTTCGAGGAGGAAACAACATAACATAAGGTCAGAAAATAGTGCCCTTTAAGTTGTCTTAGTTATTTAAATATACATTGTGAAACCTCTAATTAACATTCATCAATAGTCTAATAAAAAGAGAAACGTGCAAAAAAAATATTCATATTGTGAAAAAAGTGTGACGTCTTATCATATTTTTGTAGATTCATTAAATCCAGACGATTAAATGCCTATAATTATATAATTATCCACTTAAAATCAATATCTATCTATGTATATGACAATGGTAATGTTAAGTCAATAAAGGTTACATTTTTTTATGTTAGAGTGTTCTGGTACCAATGTCAGAATAAGGCAATATTAGAATAAATGATCCATAAGTGCACATGATAACTTTTAGTGTTTAGTATCACTATTTTTAAGGAAACCAGCACAACAGCATTATTGTAAGTGCCTGCATGCATCCTAACAGCCAAGACTATTTTCAGACCACATAAGTGAACAACAGAGCTTTAGAGGGATCATGTGATCTCATCTCTCAAGAGTTCAACAAGGGAATATAAAGTTTGATATTTTGAGCCTTTATTTTTATAGTTTGTCCTCAATGTTCACTCTTGATTCATGAGCAATTAGTAATTTTATTTAAAACTGGAAACTTCAGTCTTTAGAGGGTAGATGTCAATCATTTTGACCAAACCAAAATGAAACAGTACAAGGTTATGTATTGCTTTAAAGGGGACATAATGCTTTAACATTGTTATAAAAGTGTCACAATAAACTGACTCTCAATTATATTTTGATTAGAGATCCAACGATTTAGTTTTTTTCATGGCTGATGCCGATGCCCAATTGTTCAGAATCCAAAGAAGCCGATGGCTGATAAGCTCTGCTGATATATTTAGGCTGAAATGTAGGGCCACTGTCACCCACAGCCCTTTTTTACCACAAACCTTTAACAGAACTGTGTAGTCATGTTTTGTGCAAGTATCTCATCGCATTTAGGTATTAAATGTGCTTTATACTCTTTAAAAATATCAAAATATCAATATATCGTATCATTTAATGTGATGATACAGTATTGATATCGTGGGCTGCTGTATCAAGAGTATCTTTTGGTATATTTTACTAAATAATTTAGTTACAGCTACAGTTTTGTTGCTTTTAATGGGTTTGTTTCATATTCATTTTGTACAAGAAGTGATTTAACAGACTTTCAGCATCACAGTTATGATTTAGCCATTATTATTTATTGAACTGCATCGAATCAATTTGAAATATATCGTATCGAACCGAAAGTGCACTGTATCAAGATAAGTATCGTATAGTGAATTATGTATCGAGGTATGTATCGGCAACTTCTTAATAATACCAGCCCTATTAAGCAGCAGGTCAGCGAAAAACAGTAACGGCCTCTGCTGGAGATTTAAGGAGAATACACTAACCAATATACCTGAAAACCCTTATATCTCTAATTTTGATGCATGTTTGAGTAACTGTGTATTGTCTAGCATTAGAGGTTTAAGAGATGTCTATTTTCACCTACTCCCTATCCCTGTCCCCTTTCCTGTTTACACTTGTGATTCATTTTAAAATTAAGACTCCATTTGATACATTTAAGATTCAAAAATGACTTTTTCAGCAATAAAAACAGATAAATGATCAATATATCTGCTGCATGCTATGATGAAATGCCACTACAAATAGCCAGGGATCATAATATGTGTATTTTTAAACAGAGAGTGAATGGACCCTTTTCAAACATGAAGCCATTTCGCTCAATATTGCTGTTTTTTACAATTTATACTCACATGTAAAATAAGCTTAACGTGTCTTCTGTAAAACTGAAGCCTGTGCTATGTGTAATATGACAAACAAAGTGTCTATCAGTGGATGTTGACAATGGGGTCACATTCCCAATATGAGTAGGACATGATGTTAATGATGGTGCACTTGTGAAGCTAACAGCGTATGCACACCGCTGTTGTCAGGAGCCTATGAAGACAAAGCAGAGCGCGGTGTGGCTTACAGGAAAGCACTTAGACCAGATCCTGTCTGTAATGCCGTGTGTAAACAAAGAAGCTATGAAAGATTGATGTCAATGTTCAACCTCAACCTCACAGTCCAATATATGCTACGGCGAAGAGTATGAGAACACCGTGCAGAGGATCAGCTGCTTCACTGCACAAGTACACTGTGTGCGGCAATCATACTGACATCTGACTTTCAGTCTTCAAATGACCTTAAAATCTAATTAGAAAAAGTTAATAGCTTCCAAAATAACAACTGTCAGTAGTCACAATTTATGAAAGTATCTTTTGTTTGGTCTTTTCATGAGACAAAAATCAAAAGAAAATTCCACAAATGTTGGAATTTTATAATTACGGGCAATAATGACAAAATGACAAAAAAACTTAATTTTCTTGTTGTTTCTAATCTCATGATAGTCAGAAGAAATGTTGACAATCTATTAGAAATGTGTAATAACATTTTTAATGTGGTTTAAGTATACTGCAAATATACATGTGCGTAAAATCACCTAACGATAAAATGATAGACTCAACATCAAAACTTGGCACATTATTCTAAAAAAAAAGTTAAGCCAAATATCAAATCAAGTATAACTTTCACTGATAACAACTGTAATACTGATTTATTCTTAATTACAATGTCACTGGACATGTCAGATTTATGTGGTGGTTTGCATCACAGAAAGCAGAATGAGCCTCACATTTGTCCAGTTGCCAGTTTCAATGCTGAAATCCAGTTGGTTAAAACCTAAAATGTCTGATCTGATCTGAATGGTCACTACCTGAACATCAGCACGTGCTACAGTATATGCTGTCCATACACTGAGAATAGTAAAACTTGCATGTGTCCTCGGCAGGTTAAGGCACTGGCAACTCAGGTTCAGTTGTGATTGTAGCACATTTTTTAAAACAGTAAGAGCACAGGCTACATACCTTCATATAAAGTTTCTCTGACAGCACAAATTGCTAATTTGTTTAATCAATATTGTTGCAAAAATGATTCTAATACTTAATCGCTCAAGTATGAATGTAGAGCACAGAAACACGTAGGCTACAGCAAGTTTATGGAACATTTGTGATTTTGGTTTAGACATTTGTCTCCAAAAAGTTTGTCTCAAAAGTAATATTGGTTAATGGGTTTGTGACATCATCAAACTGAGCTCCAATCACAAAGCCGACCCAGGAACGCTCTGTGTGGTCCATGTTGGCCAAAGCTGCTGATTGCACATCATTTGCATTCCAGATCCAGCTGATGGCCAGTCTCTATCAATTATTTAAGAAGTTGGACCTCAAGGTTAAAAAGGTGCTTCTGAGGATCCACCGCACCTATGAATTCTTTATATGATTCCCTTCATTCTCATAGTGCCAACATGCAAAGTTTGAGAGGTCATCTGGTATTTAATCAACACATGGCACAGATCAGGGCACTCGCTTTAGTTTCCTTTGAGGTCATGAGACGAACTGAACACTTGATCATCTAGAAATTCTTGTAGTGCTAGACATAAACGCTTCTAAATGGAAAAGTTTACAGCCAATCCTCTGTTATTAACATCTTGCGGTTCATATTTGGAAAGAAGAAATTCATCTATTTTTTAAATTTTAGATATTATTGCTTCTAATACAATTATCAATTATAATGATCAAAATCAACCCTCTCTGTTCTGAGTATGAAGTGTCAATGTAGACAGTCTCAAGTATGATAAAGTATGATATGATATTGGCTTAGTAACTGTTGGTTGTCGGTTCAATACACTCTGTTTTTGTGTCCTCAATCAAGACACTTCACCCACCTCACCTCCAGCATGTACGTGTGAGTTCTGTATACTTAGATTGCGTGCGTAATGTGACCGGTGAACATACCTACGATTGGGGTGAGTTTCTGCAGCTCTCTGTTGGCACTCAGAGGAAACGTGGATGTGCTGAAGCGCTTCTCACGCTTCACGGCCGAGTGTGACCCCGGCTGTTTCACCCGGAGGAGCTGGGCAGCGGGCGGCACCTTCTTACCCTGCAAAACAAGCCCCAGAGGCTCTAGTTACCCATAGGTTTGGGACCAGGTAGTTCTTGGCCTGGAGGACAAGGTTCAGTTTACCTCCTCCTTTCTCTCTCTCTCGCAGCTAGTGTTGTCATGATATTAACATTTCAAACTCAATTTCAGTGTTATGGAAACAGACTCGATACTCAATTCTGATTTTGATAACATGTTCCACAGTATGACATTAAACAGCTCTACCTTACTCTCCACAGATCTGACCTGTAACTTGGTCAGGTTTGGTTTCTATAAAGAAATATTTAGAACCAAACTGTGCAACATTCTAGACAAAGTAATAACATCTCCATGGAGAAAAGTATTTGATAGGCACTCCAGTGGAAAAGTTACACAATTTATGTCCAATTTAGGTCCAATATTATGCAACACTGAGTCTTGTTACGACATCAAAAACATACGCTGGGTTTTTTGTAGTAAACGTGTGAATGAAATAAGAGACAACTCCATGTTTTTGATGAGGAAATAACAATATAACATAGATCAGAAATAGCGTAATATGAGCCTTTTAAATAGTACTTTCTTTTATAATACCATCTTGTTTTAGGTTCCATCGTGGTCTATGTGCTCTTATACTTGTTCTGATACAGCTCTAGATCATTCTAAAGCTATTCATTTAGCAACAATACTTGTTCAAATGAGTATCTAATTTCGATACCAGTTTTAGTATTGATTAGTATCTGATTTTCGATACTTTTGACAACCTTACTTGTAGCGGGAACGGAGCGGGAGGGAGGAGGGAGGGTGTCAGACGAGGGGTCAGGTTGCTTTCCGAATCAGATCAGGTGATTGTGAGAAGCAACCTGAGCTGTGTGAGCAGTGTACAGTACAGGGGCATTGATGGACATGACACTGGAGCGCGGAAAAGGCTGATACAACTGTCAATGGGACAAACAGGAGGTCCTGGCGTCGGTCAATCTGGGCCCCACACTGCTCATGTCTACAGTGATAAGAAGACACATCCATATTTCAGTAGTTTTTTTTATATGGGGCTGTTGTTATTTTGAAAAACAAAATCAAATTGCAATTGCTCTTAAGTATTGTGATCATATTTGCGATTTATGTTTAAAAAGTACAGTCCTGAGTGTACACTGCGAACAACTCCAGGGCCTTACGATCTGAGAGAAGACTGAAATATGAACGGATAAACTAATACAAGAATCACATGAATTTCAGGTTAGGCATAACATAATTTTTCTATTAGAAAAGGGTATTTTGTTCTTTGAAAAGTTCATTCTATTATCTAAATAATTGCAGCCTTTACGATCTGATAATTGTGCCAACTCAAATTGCAATTCCGTAACAATATAGGCCAGCCCTAGTTTCTTAGATAACAATTCTTATCAATTAGTGAATGAAGAGCCTAAATTAGTTTGGCTTCGTAGACTAAACCAGGGCCAGTGTGCTCTGCCCCCTAGCATGTGTCTATAAATATTATCACAAGATGCCCAATACTGATAAAATATTAAATTTGAACCCTAAGCAAAATTATATTATGCAATAATCAGATTAAACTGTGACTAATACATTTCATATTATTTACAGTTTGTCTGTGTCTTGCAGGGTTTTCAAAAGTATTCAAAATCAGATTCTAATCAGTACTAAAACTAGTATCGAAACTAGATACCCATTTGAGTCGGTATCGATACAAGAAAAACAAACCTTTCCTGAATAGCTTTAGAACAGGCAAGTCCAAACTATGGCCCTGGGCCCAAATGCGGCCCTCAGACAAATTTTTCTTGGCCCTCAGACTTCCAGGTGAATTGGCCCAAATTACCTTGCATCAATTAACAAATATTTTTTTAATGCAAGCTTTTTGAAAATCGACCTTGATATAGCTAATATTTCAGATTTAGTGTGTGGCTTTAAGGATCTTAGCATGAATAAAGACTGATGTCTCCTTCTAACATGTTAAACATACACACATTTCAATTATTCCCTGCACTGAGCATCAGTCTACGGCCCTCGATCAGCCCTCTGCTTCGTCTGTGTTTAGATAACAATTTTCTTCATTATTCGTCTCCAAAACCAAATGAAAAAAATGAATAACGATTCTTTTTTTCAGTTTTAATTTTTCATGACTTAAACTGCAATGCCGGACTTTTGCGCCGCATATGGACTGAATCAGGACTTAACCAGAACTTAATCAGGTGTAAACCAGGTCTAAACCAGGACTGAGTGTCAGGATGGGCCCAGAGGTGCGCCCGCATAGAGTGTCTGGTGATCAGGACTGAGACCAGGACTTTTTTCGTTTTCTTATTTTTGGTTTTATTTTGAAAAACGAATGCATGAATGATACACGGGTTACATAGACTAGTATACACATGGACCACTATGGAACATACCTGAACAACTGAGGGATTACACAGATATAAGGCCATATGGTAATATAAAAGAAAGTAATATTATTTAAAGATCCTATACAACACAAAATTGACTCTTGTGAGCTTTACGTCATGTTACAATGCTGTTACCTCCTCAAAAACATACCTGCAGCTACATTTACCTTTAATTCAGTAGAGACTGGCAATTCCAGGGCTGTAATCATCCAAACGGTTCTAGTGAAGGTGTATATAGTTTAAAAACACAGTGGAGCACTTCCTGTAACAAGGACTAAAGTAAGAAACTGAGTTTGAACTGAGTCCCTATATCCCTAAGAGACGACAGCCAGTATTGAAGAATCTCAACTTCCTTCCACTTTCACTCCAGTTGTATTTACTTTTCTCAAATCTTTATCACTATAATTTGGTTATCATCATGCCCTGCTATATTACACACAACCAGCTGCTACAAAGGCCTGCATTATCCTCCTGAACAGGCAGAGCAGACAGGCAAAGGCAGGATCGATGAGTGTGCACTTTAGAAAAAAAACAACGTCATAAGATCATACTGAGCCAGTCACATGAGAAAGTGCCTGAATTAAAAAGTACAAAAGACTCATTAAAGTTGTACACGGAGGAACAGTGATGTGTACAAGTGTGGCTGTATCTATCTTGACCTGCTGGATGTGTCTACTGTGGGCTAGTTTGGAATTGAGGGGTCAGGGGTCAAAGTGCACAATGTAAAATATATGGTCAAAATGTCTGTCCGAAAATGCTAATCAAGAGTTATTATGTATTTACAGTGTTGTCATAGATGCCAAACTATAGAGTGTGTTTTTTTTTTTTTTGTCTTTTTAGTATTATACCGAGTGCATAGAGTTTAATGTAGACAACAAGACAGATGCCAGATGAGGAAAAGAGTGTGGAGAGACATTCAGTTAATTGTCAGAGTCGGGAATTTGAGTTTTTTCTATGATATACCTTTAAAATGATCAAACACAATGACTCAATCTTTTAGTTTAACAGTTGCAGCTTCTCTCATAAGAACTAATCTGATTAATTGTTATTACATATTTCATTTAATAAAAAATAATTGTTATGTGGATGATAAACTGACTGGAAAGACATTTTATTAACAAGTTACCACTGTAATTAAATTAAAAGTTACATCGGGCCAGAATATAGGTTTTTGATGAAAAGTACGTACACATTTCTATACTTTTTAAAGTTTAAGTAATAATAATTTGACTGGTTCCCTATTCTAATAATAACTGGCCGAATCAACTCAGTAGTAGCTGCACTTTTTCCAATATAAAACATTTTGAACACATTAAAACAGGAAAAGTACAGGCCTAAGCAATAAAAAAGAACCACTCAGAAATGTTAACTCAATAAGAAGGATGCACTACTCACGTCTTGGTCTGAGGGCCCATTCTTATCAGATTTCTTCGACCTTCCAGACTTGGAGGATTCCTAAACAAAATGCAAAACATGTGAACTTCATCAAACTAACTGCAGTGCATGAAAAGGTTAGAAATACCACACTACCATGAGAAAGAAGTGCTCAGGAGAAGTTTTACCTTGTCCTTCTTGCTCTTGTGGGGCATGCTGAGGCGGGAATCCCCAGCGTGTCAGCAGGTCCTTATTATGAAGTGCACAGTACAAGGCTGCTACACACACGTCTGAATACGGGGCTGTTCCGCGCTGACCATCCCCGCACCATGTGACCGAGACCGGGCTACGAACGCCACATGTCACCCTGCCGCTCCAGCGCTGGCCCTGCACCGGAACGCGCGCTCCACCGAACACACGGCTCTCTTCATCACACGGGACCGGACCGCTGCAGCACTTTGAGGTCCTCCCTGCGCTGTGCTCTGGCTCCGGGCACGACTCTGCTGCGTGCACCGCTGTACCTGTGTGGAGCCACCGCGCAGGGGCAGTGTAGCACCTGACACCGCGCCGCCGTGGAACAGACTGGAAGGATGCGAAGTGAAATACAAAGTTTATGTTAACTCAAGCAAAATGTCTGTAGTTTATGATGAAACCAGGTTACCAAGGGACAGATATAGGTTACTGAAAAAATAAAACAGGGACAAAAAAGACACACGCTTTTTAATTGGATTGCACTTGGGTTCACGTTACATCATAACTTTATAACATGCTCAGAGTTTGTTCTCAAAATTATGTGTCATGTTTACTATCAAGATTAAAATGGCGATATTGTGGATCTATCTTTAAATAAATTTGGTCTACAGTCTGGTTTTCAACAGAGAACTTTATTTCCAAAACATTTTAATTGCCTTTTGGCCCAATAGCATTTTGTAGATCATGAATGCCTGAATCCTACTTGCATATAGACGAGCACAATAACTACGCAGAGTCAGATGATACAATGGTACACTTAAAGTGTGGCATCTCTTTAAGTTTGTGTTTTATTGCTACAATATCAGAAGTCTATATCTATCCTGCTCCCAGTGGTTTTGTGTGGTGTTGTACCTCAGCTGTGTGTCCTTATGAGGGCAGCATTGCATGTTTCTAAAGGAGCCGTTATCTGAACACGATGATGATGATGATGATGATGATGGATCAGTCACTGTACGCGCATCAGCTGTACCTCATCTCCCTGTAGTGAAGAGTTTATTCTCTCTGAGCTCAGTCACATACAGCATTCTCCAACACTGATGTAAATATTTCATTTGTAAATAAACAACATTAACTGGCAAAATAGCCATAATTTGAGCTCTAAAGGTGATAGGAGAATAGGGTTATTGGTGTTTAGCATACATGATTTAAATATTTAATCTTTCCCTTAAAAGTACATTTACACACAAGATTCTGCATGTGTTGAAAGTCCTGGTCTGAAGAATTGGACTCATGTCTGCTGACTTCTACTCTGACCTGTCTGTCTGAACTTTGCTGTATGTCTCTCTGGTCACTGCAGTGGACCCCTCCCTCTTTTTAATAAAACTCCCTGTTGGCTCTCACCAGAGCTATAGTTTGTTTCTGGCCCAGCGTCAGCACACAGCTGTAATCTCATCTCAGAGGACTGAGGAGGGACAGTGCCCTGGTGGGGCCTGGCGGATCCCTGGCCTGCTGAGAGCGCGTGCCTGGGGCAGGTCTGATCCAGTGCCGGGTATTGATCAGCCCGTGAGTGGTGTTTCCATGTGTGTGTGCTGGGCTCCACCACAATGCTCTGTTATTACACAGAGATAGGGCCACTTCATTTCCTGTGTGCGCCGCTCTGAATGGGAGCTGTGTGTTTGTGTGGCACCACACACGTCCTGCAGAGAGATAGGAGAAAATGAATTCTGCTTTTACAAAGAGCTTGGCTTTCCTCACAAACAAATCAAATCAAGAATAAAGCCTGAGAAGTCCAGGCTGCGGCAGGCCCATTTTTAACATTTAAGGACAAAATCTCGAGTCAAATACATACATCTCTACATGTAACTGATGTACTCCCCATGGGTTTGGGGGTACTCCACTCAGCGCTCTTTTAGTCTCAGGGTAATACATGGAGAAATACACATCACCAAACTGTTCTCACACCGTTTGTCCGCCATGATCAGTTTCTTTGGTCATCGTCTCACAGAAGCAGTATGCTTTGCACTTCTAATGATCTAGTCTTAGCTACTCTTTAAATCTCCTTGTGTGGAAGCATAGTCAGGCTTGAATAGCTAATTCTACCTCCTGTATTGAGTATTCAGGTCTCTGGGTCCCAGACTGATGGTAAATAACCTTCTCTTGCCTCAAATCCCCAGTCTCTGGCCTCTCTTTACGGCTCTAGGACAACACTTATTTTCCCTAACACTATTAGTGAAGCCATTAGCTGCAATCCCTGTCTAAATGTTTGCTGATTCTCTTCATTATAGCAGGTACTTTGCTCTTCCTTAACACTAGCCCTCTGCCCTTCGACCTCTGCCACAGTCCTGCCACCAGAGCGGGACAAACGTCAATGGGGCGAGAGGTGTCATCGGCGTTAATGAGAGAGGCTAGCTACAGGAACAGGTGTACTTTTCCATAGAGAGAGCAGACTGAATAGGAACAAAGGCTTCAGCTGTGCCAGGTGGGAGATCCTGGTGATAAGGTCCAAACATGGAGCCACTGGGAAATGTTTGGGTGTAATATTGTACGAGCTTTCATAACTCCATTCAAACACACAAACACAAGGGCGTGGTTGTCGAGGTGTGAGCAAGGAAAAATACAAGAGCCATTGTGTAACTTGGCACAATATGGTCGACTTTTATCTTGTTGTTAAAGCATTTTGAGTTTTGGAGATGCAGACAAACAAATAATGCAAGGTTACTCAAACATGTGAAACCAAGAATTTCTTTAGTCGACTCCAGCCCTACTTTCCATGCATTCTCTCTCTCCCAAAGTCATTTGTGTGCCAGTTGCATGTACGGGGAGTAATTAGATGCTGACATGTTTGTATGATGGAGGGCCCATGCTGAGCCCTGTGACATCCAGATGGTCAGGCTCAGAGGAGCACCAGCCTTTGGAAGGTAACTATCTCCTTCACAGTGTCCTCCAGTTGGTGGCCTTGAGTCCTGTTGTTTGGGCTGTACCTGTGTCTGTCACAGCTATGTCCTCCAGCTTTGGACAAGTCTATAAACCTCTCCTATAATCCTGCTTTCATTTGGTTGTTGGACAGCCTCCATGGGTCCTCTTTGGCTGTGAGCGCTGGCACAGATTCAGGCAGAATGGATGGTTTAAAATGCAATTCCAGACTTTTAACCACTGAAACTTGAAATAGTAAAATATTTAAAATTGTTCATTCATAAAATTATCTGTGCAGAATGAAGATTAGAATTAAAATCCTTGGATTCACAGTGATAATGCCATCAGCAAATCCACAGTGAAATGTATCAGAGCATATAATGTCGAGAGCGAACTGGCTGATGAGGGTTTTAAAAAAGACTTAGATGTGAGGGTGCTAACCTGCAGTACCCCATTGTCTGCTTCTTTATACAACTTACCGTCCTCCACCCTTACAGTCCATCCTTTGTGTACTCCACTTGCCCACCTGTCATATGGGGCCAAAACCTTCAGTTGCTGTGTCCCTGACTCTGGAACTCCCCACCACCGCCCATCTGTGACATAGACTCCATACACTCTTTCAAAACTCATTAATAAAACTACTTTCCATAAAACTTGAAACTCCTGTCCCCATCCACTTAGATATTTTATTTTTAAAGATACATTATGTAATTTAGGGTCTGAAACCTGCTCGTTCAGTAGATGTAGATGTTGTTTTTTTTACCTGTAATGTTATACAGCGGGGATCTCCAACCTTTTTTCTCAGGTGAGCTACTTTTACAAAACGAAAAGAGTTACTAGTTTTATAGCCACAGCAAGCCTTCGATGAGGTACAGTTAAGTGCAAATAAAACAAACCATTATCCATGTATTAGTGTACAAAGTTAGAAATCAAAATGATACATGTACAATGGTAAAAGGTATTTATTTAATTAATCCAATTTTACTTATTCAACACAATTCCGAAATCCCTTAGCGAGCTACTTGGAAGGGGGTGGAGAGCTACCGGTAGCTCCAGAGCTGTTATACGGTATGGCATGGAGACAAGCAGGTCACATCACCAGGCCTAGTTACCAGTCATATCTGTGGAGAAGTGGGCCCACTCACATTATTGAAGCATGTTTTTGTGGTAGTTTTGAGAAATAAAAACCCACAATTGAATAAATACAGGATATATTTGTTTAATGTCATACTGTGGTAGCCTGATTCATCAGCCGGTTTCACTTCGTGGAAACCGTCTGATCTCGCAGCATTAGGATTTGTTCGCTTGTTTTTTTTATTTAACCACTGGCTATTATTTGGTCGTGACATATGTAATGCACCAAATCCCGGTGGAAGAAGGGCCATAACGTCTTTCCCTTTGATAAAATTCACCAAACATTCTGTGTTCCGGATTTAAATCCTCGATCTCAGGAATCGTTGCCAACACTGAATGTCTGGCTTCGTCTACATCCATCTCAACCTCTTTGTTTTCTGTTGTGCTGTACCACAAAAGGAACCCAGACAGGTGCTTGAGTTTGATGTCATGGCTTCACAGCTCTTTACTGATTGGCCGGTGCGTGGTCTGTAACTTCTGGGGTTCTTGCAAACCGTCTAGTGTATTCCGATTCCTGACCTATTTCGATTCCTGACCTGGAGAGAAATGAAATTGAGTGAGGCACTAGGTGGCGCTAGCATGGCTAATACTGTGGAACATCATCAGGCAAAGCAATAACAACACCACAGTGATGAGGAGATGGCAGATCCTCTCATCTTATCTTGTTATTTGTGATTTTATTGTTGTGCAACTTGACCTCAAGAGTCTTGAAATATGCCAATATATAAAATGCATTATTATTATAACTTCATAACTTCAAAATGCTTTTATTGTCCACGTTTGAATTCTTTACAAATCCTTCAAAATATTTCTCAGGCTTGTCAAGATGAGTTCTTTAGGGAAACATGCCCTTTGCATTGGACTCTACTGAAGTTACCGTGACAGCTCATCTCTTGATGTTAAGCTGGGCGCCTTTCAAACCGTACTCTCTAATATCAGAATGGACAAACAGACTCACATTAGAAGCTCTGAGCGGCTCTACTTAAGCTGTATTAGGGCTTCTCTTATGTTGGAGTTGACTGTTGCGCGCGAAGGGGCCAGATACGATTCGATTGCAGATATATTTTGCTGGTGCGTACAGAGCTGCGCCGCATGAAATGTCAGTGATAAGAGAATGATGAAAAGCCTTTGACGCTGCAATCTGTCAGCTTCCACATGGGCACTGCACACAAACAGACAGGCGCACAGGAGAGGGGCCCCGAGCAGTGATAAAGCATGAGGAAATATATGCACAATGTG